CTTTCACAGGGGTCAGCAAAGACCATCCTACATATCAGATATTTCCATGACGATTCATAACAGTAGCAGCATTACAGTTATGAAGCAGCAACAAAAATAATTTTATGGTTGGGTCACAACATGAGGAACTGTATTTAAAGGGCCGGAAGGTTGAGAACCACTGACCTAGTGCGATATGATTCAGATTTAAGACATAGCCTATCATACATACTTAATAAAAATGGTCTTGAGGGTTGTGACACATGGAAGATGGTAAGAAAGCATCAATCCCCATTAAGCATTGCCTGTGGTGGATAGGTGTGTTAGAACACTTAGATTCCCTTTCCTCTCAGTGGGCATTGTTTGAGCACCTGCTAGGCACAAAGCAATGTGGGAAGAAATAATAGACAATGGTCACTCTTCTAAAAGAACTTTTGGTCTAGAGGGAGTGACAGGTAAGTAAACAACTAATTAAGTAGAATCAGTAGGTACAAGAAACACAAGATGGTATCCTCAGGGATCAGGGCAGGCTTTCTGGAGCACCTGGTGAATGATTTGAGTTGTGAAGAATTAGCAGGATTTCCTTTGGTGGTGGGGGTGGGGAACATTCCTGAAAACAATAGGGAGGATTGAGTGGGGGTGGGCAGGGGAGGAGGTTCAGCATCCCTGGGCTATGAATCCTTTAGGGTAGGAGCTTTGTTTCTAATCTGGGTACTTCCCGGACTCAGCCCACAAATCTGGCTCTTAGTAATGGTTTGTTGAGTGAATATATGAATGAGAACTTGGGACACTCCAACATGAGCAAAGACGAAGGGATAAGAACATTCTTGGCCTTTTTAAAGAAAGGAAAACAGTGTAGCTAGAACAGGATTTCTGCCGTAACCGGTTTGGCTCAGTGGATAGAGTGTCGGCCTGCGGACTCAAGGGTCCCAGGTTCAATTCCAGTCAAGGGCATGTACCTTGGTTGCGGGCACATCCCCAGTAGGGAGTGTGCAGGAGGCAGCCAATCGATGTTTCTCTCTCATCGATGTTTCTAACTCTCTATCCCTCTTCCTTCCTCTCTGTAAAAAAATCAATAAAAATTTAAAAAAAAAAACAACAGGATTTCTTAGTGCTCTTAGCCATGAATGAGATTAGCATAAAGGACTAAGGAAGATGGTCTTTATCCTGTGGGACCTGTGGACCCATGAAGGGCTTCCCAGTGTGGAAGGGTCATAATCAGAGCTGTCCCAGGAAGTAGATGGGCATCAGCCATGTGGATCAGAGGGCACAGTGCGAGGGAAGGACAGTTGAGAGATGGCCTGTGGGGGGTCTGGGAAGTGAGAATCAAGTAATAGGTAAGTTCTCATTAAAATGTTTGCCTTTTAAGAGACTGGAAGAGTAGAGATTTCAGTCAGTCTCTGCTAGTGTGTTCCCTTAGCAGGAATAGCAGGAATTTAACTTTCAAGGAGAAATCAGTGAGAGCCACAGCTCTCAACTGGGACCCGACCTTCAGTATCTTCCTCGTTCATCCTTTATCATCCGAATGCTTGGTTCCAGTCCCTCTAGTTGATGCCAGATTCAAAGGGTTGACAGCCTAGTGTGGTGTTAAGGACCCAGCCCAAGACAACCATTCACTTTCTGATGAACAAAACACCCACACAACTTTCATGGAAGACATGCCATTGGCGAAATTCACAATGAACAACTCTGATTTAAGAGGTCCAGACACTCTTCCTTCCCATCTGCACTTGCGCCCACTCTGCAGAATCACCACTATATGTGAAATGGCTAATAGTCCCTGGTCTTCTGTGGTCAAGTTACAGCTGATAAAGATACTGCTTCCTTCAGCAAGGGCTGCGGGGAAGGTTCTGTGGAAGTAGACCTCTAAAGCCCTTAGCATCACAGGCACTGGCTAATAAATGGGGCTCCATTGTCTCTGCTGCTGGGTTGTGCACTCAGGTGGGCAAAGTTTTGACCTGAGAGTTGAGATCCCAGGCCAGATTTGACCACTAATGTGCTCATGTGACCTTGATCGAGTCACAGAATGTCTTGACCCTCGGGTTCTTCACCTTTCAGATGGGAATAACAATTCCTGCCCTACTCACCTCATCAAGCCAATTTGAGAATCTAATGAGATTAAAGCATGGAGCATGAATATGCTTCAGAAATCAAAGAGGAGGAGTTGGGAGGTGCTAGGCTAACCTGAAACCAGAGACACCTTCTGAGGCACTAGCTCTGCCGCAGGGCTTCTCTTCCCACCATGTGCCCTTGGCTAACCCCCATCATACCCCCTCTTCTTTCTCCACGCCCAGCCCCCACTCCCCAGGGATGGTGGCCAGCCCTGGGTAATGCTTGATGTCATCAGACCCAATGCCTCTCCTTCTCTTCTACCCCAGCTTTGACCCACTCCAGGGGTTGGCTGCCGCACTGGGTGCCCTCCCATGGCGTGCAAAGCCTTGCCTTTCTCACCAGCTTCATTGCAGATAATTAGGGCCAAGCCTAAAAGGGATTTTATGAAAGATGCCACCCAAATGGGAAGGTTCTGGAAGAGGCTTGGGAAAGGGTGGGCAGGGCCACTTTGTGGTTCCCACAGCGCCATCCTATCTGAGCATACACAGACCACCTCGGGCCACTTCCCCATCACCCTGCTGAGGTTTAGGGCTCAGTTGAGCCACCTCCTGGAGGCTGGAGGGTGGCCTCCTTAGCACTCAGAGTCCCCTGAGCCAAGGAAAGAAAGGAGTGCCCAGTAAGGCACACACAGTGGGCACATGTGACAGCCAGTCTCCTGAATGTTGGAACTGGGCTGGTCTCAAAAGAATTCTAGAGCCCTTACCACCTGCTTGCTTATAGATGCCCTAGGGAGACAGTTGACCATGAAAAAATAACTAAAATCATGGTAGTATGTGGGAGATGCCTGCAAATCTCAGGGACAGTAAGGGCCTTAGGGCAGGAGAAAAAGGGATACCCCAGAAAGATTTCTGGAGGAGGTGATGGTGAGACTCAAAGATTCCTTGAAGGACAGAATCTAGTGATCCTGTAATGAGACAGGTTGGGCTGCTGCATTTTTCAAGGTTTGGGGGAGGCACTGGTTTGGGCTTTGGCTTTGGCTTTGGAACAGAACAGCATTACTGGCACCTCAGGCCAGTGGAGCCTATAACTCTGATCTCTAACAGATACCACATGCTAACCCCTGAGCTAAGATACCAAAGGTACTCACCAAACACATTACCCGCCCCAAATCATTTAGAGTTGACTGTATTTGCTTGTATTCTTTTCATTTAAATTAAAAGAACTTGATTTTACTATTTTCAAAATACAGGCCTCCTTACTTCATCCTAAACTACCTATAATCTCTAGAAGGGGGTTTGGAGAAAGCCCATATCCTGGGGTTCAGCCTCCTCTGGCTGTCTTGAAATCTGAGGATTGAGCTGGAGTTATGTCCTGGGGCAAGCTATCAGAAGTCACCTGTCTGAGGTGTCCTGCAAGCTGCAATGATTAGACATGGCCTTTGCTATGTGGGGCACCTCACATAAAAAGAAGGGGGCTGGGGCTTTCTAGAGGCAGGTAAATGAGGGGTTCATCAGCACGTGTTGTGGGAGTCATGAGGACATTGGAGATGGATCTTACTTTGGAATATGCAAGAGCAAAGTGGTCCTTTATGATTAGAACACAGAAGAGTCCGGAGATTGACTCTCGTTTCTTTTCCAAGAGCACAGGGGTCAGGTAAGTTCAACATTGTGGCCGGTTAAAGCAGACTAAGATTCTGCTCACCTTTCACTCCGTGAGCCATGCCGTGGACGAGTGTGAGGCCGGAGACCTGGACTCTCTACATGCAGCCACTTAGAGCTTGCTTGTGTCCCTCTTAGTCAGCGTCTTGCTCCTCTGACCCTGATCTTAATGTTAAAAATATGTTTTTTAAAAAACTTGACTATAAACACAAGGCAGAAACTTCATCCGGGGCTCAAACAAAGAACCAGAGAAGTGTCCCCACTGGAGGACAGACTAGAGCAGTGGTTATTAACCTTCCTAATGCCACGACCCTTTAATACAGTTCCTCATGTTGTGGTGACCCCCAATTTCATTGTTACAAATTGAACATAATTAAAGCATAGTGATTAATCACAAAACAATATGTAATTATATATGTGTTTTCTGATGGTCTTAGGCGACCCCGGTGAAAGGGTCATTCAACCCCCAAAGGGGTCGCGACCCACAGGTTGAGAACTGCTGGACTAGAGACATTGACCTTGGAGAGTTGATGGTTGACTCCCAACAGAGTGCCTCCCAAACTCAGTTGTCACTGAATTTGTTGATGTAGAGTGACCTGGGGCTCTGCTCTATGGTGAAGCAAGCTGGAAATGGGGGTTCAGCTCTGTTCAGGGGCGCTTGTGGCACAGGCGTGGCCGCAGGCGGGCATCTCTGCTGGGCTCTGACGCCGCTCGTCTCCTGGTCAGATCCTGCAGGAGTTGGAGTACGGCCCCTCTGTGGACTGGTGGGCGCTGGGGGTGCTGATGTACGAGATGATGGCTGGGCAGCCCCCCTTCGAGGCCGACAACGAGGACGACCTGTTTGAGTCCATCCTCCACGACGACGTGCTCTACCCTGTCTGGCTCAGCAAGGAGGCCGTCAGCATCCTGAAAGCTGTGAGTCCTCGCCCTGCACCCATGTTCCTGCTCCCCTGGCCAAGGGGTCATCTCTATTTCTTCTCACTCTGCCCCTCTCTCCTCCCTCCCTGCCCATTCCCCCCATTCTCCCTTCCTTTCCCTGCCTCTCTGGGTCCCACCTCTGCTCCCCGCTGAGAGGAAGGCGTTGAGGGCTGCCACCACTGCGAGGCCAGGCCTTGTTCCAGAGGCTGCTGCTGAGAGACTGGCCTGGGAAGAATTGCTCTGCTTGTGGGAAAAGGACAGTGTGTGTGTGTGTGTGTGTGTGTGTGTGTGTGTGTGTGTGTGTTTCCTGGGGGTGGGGGGCTCTGTGCCCCTCAGTGTCCTCCAGGGAGTTTCAATGGAGTGAAACCAACTCAAATTGATCTGGGATCACCCCAGCTGCTTAGGCTTTGGGTGAACCCTCCTTCCATACCTGCCACCATGGCCTGTGATGGGGAAGAGGGAAGAGGAAAGGAGGGAGGGAGGGAGGGTGGAAGGACCCTGTGCACCTGTGTCCACGATGGCATTACTGTGGCTAAGGAGCCGGTCAGAAAAGAAGTGTCCACTCAAGCTCTATGCAGCCACGCTGGATTTAGACATGTAACAGAGGGACAGTCCCTGCCCTACAGATAATCCTTCACATGTGAAAACGCTTAGTGCTTGCTCAGGGCAGCCATTTCTACAACCCAAGACACTTGTACTGAGGCAAATAAGTGATTACCTACCGCCCTGGGAAAGCCGTGGAAGCTGAGGGGATGCTAAGCAGGCCAGTTTCCTTCCCCTGGGCTGAGGCAGGGCTGTGGTGACAGCCCGGGAACTGGAATGTCAGTGCTGGCTTCTTTCATCCGTCAGAATCCGCTCGGAAGTTCAGTAGTTGGCATTCCACAGCCGCAAAATCCGCCACATCCAAGTACCCTCTCTTCCACGCTTTACTTTTCTTGTTCTTTTAGTCATATCCCAATATTCACTAGTTATATGTAGTTTACAGAAAAAATGATATCCCTATCATAAATGGAAAGTCAGTATCACTTGCCATAACTAATGAACATAATTCCTCATATGAAAATGTCAAAAAGATCTCAAATTACTTTGTGGTGTCTGGGGGGACACATTTCATATTTAGGAAAATGCCACATGGGAGTATGTTACTTTTTGCTGTAACTGGGGGTTTTTCCTTCCTCTGTCCCTCACCTCATTCCTTCCCTCCCTACCTTTCTCTCCCTCACTCTCTCCCTTCCATTACTTCATTCAGCTAATATTCAACTACTATGTGTGGAGGGCCTCCGATGTGCCGGGCGTTGTGCTAGATGTTAAGTGTGTGTTGGTGAACCTAACAGCCATCGACCCTTCCAGTAGAGCTTACGGCCCCACGGGAGAAGTGGGCAATAAATAGAAAGTACATCCATACATGGACATAGTTGGGATAAGATCGGTGAAAGCAAATAGAGGACGTGTATTCACTCATTCGTTTTTCAGCACATGCTTATTGAGCATCTCATATGTGGCAGGCCCTGTGCCAGGTGCTGGGTCAGGAAAACCCCAGGCTGCCAGGACACCATCCCCGCAGAGCTGGTCTCTCACCCCAGACCAGCCCAGCACACCTGCCTCTGCCCCCCCCGGCCAGCACCCCTGCTGACCCTTTCATTTGGATGACCCAGAGCAGCATCGGTGTCTGGAGATATTTTTAGTTGTCACAGCTTGGAGCAGGGGATGCTACTGGCACTTGTGTGTCCAGGCCAGGAATGCAGCTAACATCCTACAATACACAGGAGGTTCCCTGGGACAAAGAAGTATCCGGTCCGAAATGTCATTAGCACACGGTTGGAAACTTTGACCTGCAGACATTCAGAAGCTCGAGATCGCGCCTGTGCTGCCAGTTGGTGAGGGTGAAGGCACCGCCCTCGGGAGAAGAGCCTCTGGCTCAGGGGCGGCTTCTCCGTACCCTCGATCTTCGATCCGACCCCTCCCAGAATGGGAGGACAGGAAGCTCAGAGGAAGTGAGGAGCCGTCTTCCCCTCCCTTGGCCTTGGAATGCTTCACTTCTGCACATTATCGCTTGAGTCTCGGGCCAGGCCAGGTTTTCCATGACTCTGGCCACTGAGCTGGGTCCGAGGGCCGCTGCCTGTGTGAAGGTGGCACAGAAGCTAGTGAGGCCATTGCATCATAGAGTTACACACAGAGCAGCCTGTGCAGCAGTACGTGCCAGTCCTGCTGCTTCCCTCCCTCCCCATTGTGCCCAGGCCCGGCCTGCAGCACATGTTCAGTCATTTCAGTGTAGTGAGTGCATCAGAGGGGCCAGGCACGGGGAGCATAGGACTGATTCCTATGTCATAGAGCTTACCAAGGGAAGGAGACGTTGACACAAATTATAATTTAAGTAAACAAGAAATAGGAGGTCCCAGGTCTCCACAGAGGGGGACTCTGGGGAGACTTCACAGAGGAGGCAGCATATTGACTGGCTCTTAGAGGAAGGGCATAGGCATGAAGAAGGGCCTCCAACCAGGGGAAAAGGATGCAAATGGCTACCAAGATAGACTGAGTTCAAAGCACGGAGTTTCTGTGAGGGGTGTGGGCTTTACCTGCAGGTGACAGGAAGCCATCAGAGGTGCCAGGGGTGACCTCTGCTGACTTTGGTTAGAAAGATGAAGTGTGTTGGTACCATTCCTAACTCACATCTGCCCACCACCCTTTACTTTCTTATCCATGGCTCTGGCCCCGCCAGTAGCAGTTGGTCTGTGCCCAGGTGCTTTTGTTTCAGGGGCACCAGGCAAGAGAAAGCAGGAGGCTCTCCCAGTCTTTCTTGCTGATGAAGCCTGAAATCCTACTATTGTAGATTTATCCCTTGGATTCATAGTTTGTCCTCTTAAATGCAGACTCAGCCTTCACCCTATGAATTGTCATTGTCTCTCCACATGCACACACACATATCCCTGCCTTGATTATGGGTGGCTGTCGGAAATTTTTCCACTTATTAACACTAATTGTTTTTTTAAGGTTATATTGTTACTCATGGGTAGAGGCCAGGGGCAGGTATTGTTACTCATGGGACGGCCAGCAGATATTAATTTATCTGCTCAATTAAATTAATATTTGTCATCAGGCCTGACTCATTTAATAGGAATCCGTTTCTAAGACACCAGCCAAAAAATGTAAAACCCATCAATGTGCTTTATATGGACAAGCATTGAGAAGCAATACGCCTTTTTCTTGTTTGTTTGTTTGTTTTGTGTGGGTTTTTTTTGTCTTTTGATCCACATGCATGTTTTGTGCTAGAGATTCAAATTCAAATCTTTTAATGGGAGGGTCCAGGTCCAGAAAAAGGAAAGGGCCAGGGGGTGCCTTTGATAATGTACCTTAATGTGAACATCTGATCCTCTTTCCGCACTTCAAAAAGGACTGTTGACTTCTCCATGTAAATGGGTTTATCAGACCTCTGTCTCCCCGAGGAGAAGACTTGAGAATCTGAGGGAAATCAGGGAGTGAGTAAGAGCCTGAGCTTCTAATCCCAACTTGGTACCTTGCTGGCTGTTTGACCTTGGCCAAGTTAATTAATCTCTCTGTGCCTCTACTACCTCACTTATAGAATAAGGATAGTAATAGTAGCTCAGAGGGTTGCATTTGGCTGAAATAAATTTACACACACACACACACACTCACACTGTTTAGAATAAAGGTTGGCAAATAGTAAGTTCTATATGAGTTCACAAATACCTTGAAGGGCGAAGGCCCTGAAAGTGCGGAAAACAGGCTGAAGAAGTTGCCTCGGCTGATTGCTGTCTTTCCCTCACAGCCAGGGCCTGTTGGGCTTTTGTCACTAATTCTATGTCCTCATCCCTGCAGTTCATGACCAAGAACCCCCACAAGCGCCTGGGCTGTGTGGCAGCACAGAATGGCGAGGACGCCATCAAGCAGCACCCGTTCTTCAAGGAGATCGACTGGGTGCTCCTGGAGCAGAAGAAGATCAAGCCACCCTTCAAACCTCGAATTGTAAGTAGGGCCCAGAGCTCCTCCCACCCCGAGGGCCGGGCCTGGGTACCATGCGGAGGGAAGATGGTCTGGGCACATCTCACAACCAAAATGACAAGGCACAAGGGAGCCAAGACGCTCCCTGAGAGAAAGTCTCTGCTGCCCTAGTTTACTGTAGAAAATGTGCCACCTGCAGCCGTCATCGAGATGAGGATTGCCATGGGACACGGAAGAACATTTCTTACTTTAATGGCGATTTACTTACTTATTTTGGTCAGAAGTTGCACATGGTACTAGCTCTCCATGTATGGTGGCGATAGAAGGTTTCTTTATAAATAAACAGGTTTGTTTTGTAAGTGAGTCCATTTAAAGAAAAACATTAACTAAGTAATAGTCACAGCCATTATGTGGACCTAGCACAGGGCATGAAGTTGTGACTCAGTGACTGACATTTGGGGACTGTCCCCTGAGGGGCCAGGTCTGTACAAGGCCATTTCCTGAGGCCACATCAGAGATCACCTGTCCCCTCTGTCCCATCTCCCTTCCAACTTCACTCCAGCCTCAGCACACACTTCTGTCCAGGCTCTTAGGCCTGTTAGGGTGATGCCTGGGGGGGGGGGGGGGCGCAGGAGAGGTCATTGAAGGGTGTTTGAGCTCAGAAATTAGACCTAGTGACTCTGGGCTTGAAGCAGAGCCAAGACCGGGTCCTGGCAGTGACCTTCTGCTGGAAGGGGACAGGGTTGGCGCTGCTCTCCTTAAAGTTAGTAAGAATGCGTGTGCACACGTATGTTTGTGTGGGGGGGAGGTATTATCTTAATTCTCTTGGCTTTTAGCATGATGAGGCTAAAAATATGGGTAGCCAGCTGACCTGCGTACTGGGAGTGAGGAGAGATGTGTAATATAGGGATTTACTGGGCAGAAGCCCCAATCAGTCCTGTCACCCCACATTGTCAGATGACCCCTCCTTCCGCACTACCAACTACACAGATGAGCCTCCTGTGCCCTGTGAAGCATCAGAGAGGGTTCCGTTATAGTCCAGAAGGTTTTCTGAGGAGTGATTATTGGTTATCGGTACTGCTGTTCTTCTCAGAAATGTTACCTCAGTGCAGAGGGGTAACTCTCAGCTACAGGGCCTGGTCCAGCCTTAGCCAGACGCCAGCGTCCAGAGCATGGCAGGTTGACAGTCACTTGACACTCAGTCCTGTCGCCACTCTTCATTTGCCTTCTCCTTTGGTTTCATGATTTTTCACCGGCTAGCACGCAGCTGGGAACAGGCTGGATTTAGGTTCACCTCCTTTCCCTGTTAACATCATCCCCACCCCTGCCCACCTCCCCCATAGCTCTGGGGCCTGCTGTGCCAAGCCTGTGCTGTTCGTGCCAGCTTGCCAAGGCTGCCTCCCCTGCCCCAGGGTCTCTGCAGGTGGCCTTGACCCTGACAAGTGAGGGGAAGTAGGAACCGGGGGGCCAGGCACAGGAGGAGGAACTAGAGTCTTGATCTGAGGGAGACATGCTAATTTAGGCTTAATCTAAGTTAATCAACCCAAATAAAATTGGGAAGTAAAGCTAAGTAAAGAATCCAGGCCCGACACACAGGAACCCAGTACAAGATCAAGGACTGATCGACTAGCGCAGGTCTACAAAATGAGTTAAACCTCAATTCGAACTTCATGTCAACAAAACAATTTAAAACTAAGCTTTCGGAAGGCTGGGGCAGGGCTGGAGGAGCAGCCCCTTCCGGTGGCATGGAGGGTGGACAGGACAGGGCAAGCCCCCAGGGACCACCAACAAGGGGTATGCAGGGGAGAGGGCCTGGGACGGCAGAGGCAGGCAGCAGGTCTTGCAGCGAGGCCTCACTTTTGCTAAGAGGCCACACGGAAGCAAGCAGTTCGGGAGGTCTTTAATGATAAAAAGCACCAGGAAGTAAGTCTTAGGTGTGGATTCACGGAGAAGAGCCTCTCACTGACATAGAACAGACGGGAACAGTGCGCAAACCCAGCGGAGGAGAATGCCCTGAGATTTCAGGAGGCTGAGAAGCGCTGATCCCCAAAAAGCCCTAGCAGAACTGGGGTTCCGCACTGGGGCTTCCACCCTCTGGTCTGAGCTCTGAGCCAAGTGAAACTGCAGACCAGGGAGGAGTGACTCCGGAGCAGTCCCTGCCTCCCAGAGTGAGGGAAAGGTGTGGGGTGTGAGCTTTCTGAGGCCTGAGGGATGGGAGGCGAGTAAGGAAGGAACCAGGAGGCCAAGCGCGTGACCGATCCCACCTGGCCCAGACAGACAGGGACCCCCATACCGCTGTCCCTGGCCAAGAGTGCAGGTGCTCCTGTGGGCACAGGTGTGAGGGGGCCCTCATATACCCGTAGTAGGAGTACTTCCCTGGGTCAGGGGTTGAAACCAGCTGGGGCCAGGTGGGACTTCATCCCCCCCTGGAGCTAAGGGACCTATGCTGTCCTTCCTGGGCCCCCCAGAGAACCCCCACCTGGAGTAGAGGGCAATACTCTGTGTGCTTCCTTTGCTGAGGGGCTCCAGTCGGCTCAGAGGCCCTACCACCCCTGGGTAGGATGGCGGTGAAAAGGGGCAGGGGCTGTCAGGAGGGCCCACCAGTCTTCAAGTGTTAGCCTTCCCAAGGCCCCATGTCATCACTGCCTTGGACACGTCTCCTGTGCACTCACCCTCCACAGACCTCCATACAGAGCTATGCTCGCCACCTGGGGGCGGGGAGAGGATGTTTATTCAGTTGGTTTCCAGCCAGTCTGAGGAGATAATGAGAACATCTGAAGGAAGGCGCTGAAAAGGGAACCTTATTTGGCGCAACAAGGCGTTTCTGATCACATTTCCAGCGGAATGATGTCCATCCTTACAGAGTTCTCAACGACAAGTCTTGAGAGACTTAAATGATTCAAATATCTGATCACATTAAATCCGTCAGACTAGAGATTTCTCTTTGGAGAAATATCAGAATTGGGACAGAAAAGAATAGTCCTCATCTGGTTAGCAGGTTGGAAAGGTGTCCCAAACCTGCCTCTAAGCTGACAGCTCCTTCTGAAAAAGGTTAACGGCAGGACCCTGAGTCATCAGAGGGCTAGTGGATAGCAGAGGTGGATTTTAAGTTGCATTAGAGCCCACCACTCTGATGACTGTACTGTACTTCTCGTCTCTGAAAGCCTTGTACAACCAATGTGAAAACTCACGTAAGGCTTTTATACCCCGCCCCCCCTACTCAGGATTAGCTCTTGTGGATGCCTGCCTGGCTCAGAAACCCCCAGTGAGGATGGCTCTGAGCTCCATAAGCAGGGCCAGCCTTACCCTGAGGCAAGATAGGTCTTTGGCCATTAGAGAGACCCTGGGAAGCGGAGGTCTGTCCCCACAGAGCCATCTTCTGTTCATGGGGCAGGGAGTTCTCTCGAAGCACAGGATTTCAGAGACTTGAGGATGCATCTGGTGCCTTCAAGGAGAGCCAGGGGAGAGAGGTTCTGACAGAGAAAATGAAGGAAAGCTGGTTTGGAGGCTCCCATTGGGAAGAAGCAGCCAGGCTAGTGGGCTGCAAGCAGCAATGGTCAGAGTGAGGGTCTTGCATCTTAAGGACGGACTTCAAGTCAAAGGAAAGACTGTGAGAAGGGGAGACAAGTCTGAGCAGACAGCACCAGCCTTGTGTTTGGCGGTGGCCTTGAGAAGGCAGTGCATGACTTAGCAGGCAAGGAAACCAGGTGCAGACACCTGGTCTGTGCTGACGCTCCCCGGGACATCCGGTCAAGGGCCTGGGACTGTGAGGGAGTGCTCTCCTGTCCTGGGCTAGCTCCACTCACTCCCTCCCTTCGCCCACGGGCATCACACCCAAATGCCACCAATCCCAGAAACCAGCTGGGTAGCTACTGTCCTACTACCCAGCTGGCTGTACTGAACCTGAGTGGGGGTTGTCTGTCTGAGTCAGGAAGGGGTTGGTTTTGCCTGGTGGTAGGTGGTAGAGATGAGGCTGGTAAAGTCCAAGTTACCCAGTCTAGGATCTAAGAAGAGCCAAGATGTAGTGACATGTTTTCTAGAGTCCTACCCACTCCCACCACAAGTTGGCTCCCCTCCTGGCAGAGCCTTCTGGCGGGCACAGCGGGTCTGTACTCTGCCCAGGCTGGCGCAGCTGGAGGCTGGGGTCCCTGGATCACCTGACGGGGGCTGAGTATGTGGGAGGGGGAAGGCACAGCTCCAGGGCCTGATTCCTGTCCCCTCCCCTGGCTTCACCCTCTGAAGATAGCACCAAGGAGATTGTCCAGATTCATAGCTGGAATTTGGCCTCTGGTCAGGTTCTGTCACATACCTCCACTGGCTGCTGTCCCCTCCAGGCCTTTGGCTTCTTGAGATGTTTGCTAAACTGAGATATCTGCTCCCTGGCGCCTGAGCCTCGTCTAACCCCTGCCCTGAATCCCCAGCTGTCACTAGTTCACAGGGTTTCCTGCCTTCAGGTTTATGTGTGCTTCTTTGCACGGGCCCCACCCCAAAACACTTTCAGTGGCCCCTGTTTCCACACGATTTTCCTCTCGCTCATCCTCCAGCTTTATTTTACATTCCCCCTCCTCCACTTTCCCTTTCATCCTCCTCCTGTCCACTCACACACTGTACTGATGTTGTACAAGTCATGCGCATCAACACTAAACCAAAGACTTGGTGCTGCCAGGCACTAAAATCCATGTTCTGGGGTGGCTGGCTTCAGAGTCAAGACACAGAGTGAGTGGCAGGCAGCCAGCAGTGGGTGGGGGAAAGGAAAAGCCATCAAGGCTGGAGCCAAGGCCTTTGATGTTGGAGGGGCTCCCATTGGGAAGAAGTAGCCAGGACAGTGGGTTGCGAGCAGCCAGGGAGAGAATTCATTGGTCTGTCCCACTGGGGATTGGGGTCCAAGATGATGGCCTCATCTGGTTGCCAGTAAAAGTAGCACATTTAGCTTTTATGTTCCTGGTGGATTTGCCTTCTTTGGGATCATGGAGGGCAGAAGAGATATGTTTGGTGTGGTTGAAGGGCATCTTCTGACCTTGCAG